TACGCATCTATCTCATCCTCTCACTAGTCTATTTATAGTACGGGGGAACACCAACCAACCCGGATCTCTCCCCAGCCCCGGGGTAGGTTTGCACCACAGCTGTGGTGCGAGAGCAAGGCTGTACCAGTCCCTCGTCACGGTGACGAGGGGTGGGCAGGCATTGCCGATGGGGAGAATAGGCGGTGCTAGCGCCGAGCAATGGCCAGTCACTGCACCTCCCCCTGCCCCCCGCCAACCCCACATGGCGGTGTCTAATGGCCAATATTGTCGCTGCATATCAGCCAACAACATCATCCAAGGTCCTGCCAATGCTGGCTTGGGGGGCCAACGGATTATCTCTAGCAGGTAGAACACCAAGTTTGCTCAGGCACGTCCATGAGGCCAACGGGGATTGAACCCACGACCTCCTGAATGCAACTTCTGTGCCTTACCAACTGAGCTAGGCGCGCAGGCCAACACGGCGACGTTTTCGAAAGGTGGAAACTTTTTTTTTTTTTTTTTTCTTCTTTTTTTTCCTTTCCGAAAGGTGGAAACTGAAACCGCACTTTTCTGAAGTTGTCCCATGAGCAAAAAAAACACATGCCAGTAAAGAAAACAGGCGCCGAGTTCAAAAAAGCAAGGAAAGTACCAACTGCCGTGGTGGCAGGCCGGGTGTCATAACTACTACAGAGGTCGGCCGTGGTGTCACATGTGGAAAGAAAAAAAAGAAAAAGAAAGCCCAAAGGATTCTTTTAATCTTTTTACTCACGCGTGATATCTTTGTCGGAGTGTGTCTTTTTTGCCTTTGCGAACTCAAAAGCTGCCGCGTCCGTTGTTGTTTCAAAATTAAAAAATTGAGGCGGCTATGCTGAGCCCTGCGAAGCCGTGGTGTAGTGATAGACAGACCGTGAACGCAACATAGAGCAAAGCGACACAAGGTCTGTACCATGAATGCATAGACATTCAGACCAGACAAAAAAGAGACAAAACAGATGAAGAGAACAAGTAACCCCCGACTGCAATAACCCGCGTAAGATATTCAATGAAGTCCAAGTGAAACACAAAAGATGACGCAAACGCCGTAAAAAGACACAAGTGCCATAAACAAGAAAGCGCAGAACTGGCCATGGCACCCTACACGTGTTTCCACCGCCTCCGAAGCCGTTTTCCTGCCCGAAAGGGAGATGGTGTGAAACACCGGGGGCCAAGTCCCACTAGCAGCGTTGAGCTACCTCAACGCCTGAATGTGGACGCTTTGGCGGAGATGTGCAGAAATGGTGTCGAGTTTCCTGAGCTGCACGTCTCCACAAACACGTCCACATTCAGGCGTTGAGGTAGCTCAACGCTGCTAGTGGGACTTGGCCCCGGACCTATGTTCTGAGGGATGGATTGTCTACGAGTTCAGAATCGGAGTTGGAAAAAAAA